GGTCAGAATTTAACCAGCAACGACAGGAGTTCCACGGAAGGAAACAGGACCGCATGTGGGCTGTCTGCGGGTTGGCATCTCGGGGCTGCAGTGAGGCAACAAAGAAATGCTCCTTGGTAAAATAACGTGTGGTGAGAGGCCTTCCACTTAAGATTGCGCGTGAGGTAATAGTCTGCGGTTTCAAGTGGGGCAAAGCTTCTGGAGGAAAAATGGTCTTGGAGAGACCTGCTTCCTGCCTGTCCCCATCGTGAAAGGGGGCTGTGTTCTGAGAACACAGCCATATTTATCCTCAACGGCAGCACCTCTGGGGGACAACTGGCATATGGGTATTGTTTTGCAAACATGCTAATTCTGTCTGCAATGCCATAAAATACATCCTATTTTTTTTAATTTTTTTTTTCAACGTTTATTTATTTTTGGGACAGAGAGAGACAGAGCATGAATGGGGAAGGGGCAGAGAGAGAGGGAGACACAGAACCGGAAACAGGCTCCAGGCTCCGAGCCATCAGCCCAGAGCCTGACGCGGGGCTCGAACTCACGCGAGATCACGCAAGATATCGCGAGATCGTGACCTGGCTGAAGTCGGACGCTTAACCGACTGCACCACCCAGGCGCCCCCATCCTATTTTTTTTAAATAAAAAACAAGTTGGATACAGCCGATTTGAGGCCGAAATGACCTGTCGGATGTGTGAAATGCCAAGTTTCTTTGCGCGAGGACTAAATTTTGTGGAGAGGGGTTACCTCCCTGTGTCAACGTGAGTCTACCGGCAGCGGGGAGGGAGTTCTGTTAGGGTGCCCTTGTACATTATAGGGCGGGGGCACCAAGGAAAAGCTGGGAAGAGAAGAGATGTTCTCATGGGCCTGGCTGTGGGCTGATATGCTCACCTGCGTGTGAAAAGTGTGTGTGTGTGTGTGTGTGTGTGTGTGTGTGTGTGTGTGTGTGTTGCCCTCCCATGTCAGTATATTCAAGTAGTACTTGAATATACTGTCAGGATGTCAGTATATTCAAGTAGTACTCCAATGATGGCACCTTTCAGAGCTGATAGAAGAAACCATGGTTATGTGTAATGCATTCCTCGTAAATTGGAAATGAGCCCACAGTCCCCTTGGGTTTCAGCACTGTGTTCTTGAAACTAGATCTCCGCTCTGAGCAGTTACGAGGCAAAGATCAGGAGAATCTTGGGATCCGAGTAGATTTTCCTTCCTGTTTCTCCCAGTGCCATGGGTCCCCTCGTTCAAGAATACCCATAAGAATACCTCTAATGGGCGGGGCGCTGTTCTGCTCTGCTGACACAGTGCCTGGGACCCTGCCCTCGAGCAGCTCATGGCTAGTGTGTCAGTTTTTTCTGCATAATGAACCACCCCCCAAAACGTAACGGCTTAGTCAACACTCATTTACCTGGTGGTGATTTCCTGTGTAAACAGTTTGGGCTGGGCTTAGCTGGCTCGTTCTTCTGGTCTTGGCTGGGCTCACTCGGGGGGATGTGGCCAGCCCCCGGGGTTGACTGGCGTAGGATGGCCTCAGCTGGTGCCGGTCGCCTCTCCCCCACATGGCCTCTCATCCCTCAGTAGGCTCCCTGGGCTTGTTCACATGGCAGCTGGCAGGCTTCAGAGAGAGAGAGAGAGAAGGGAAGAGAAAGAGAGTGAGCATGCAAGGCTTTCACTGTTTTCTGTGGGTCAAAGCAAGTGACAGGCCAGTCCCAGTTCGAGAGCTGGAAAGAGAGTCACCGCTTCTGGAAGGAGGAGCTCCACAATCACGTTGCAAAAGGACTCGGGGCAGGAAAGAGCGATGTGGCCATTTTCGTGATCTCCCTCCCTCAGCCAGTCGGTGCACACACGTTCACACGATATAACTGCATTATCTTAGGGTCAAAGATTTAAGTCATGGGCTTCTTAAATGTCCAGCTGGTTTGGGTAGATTTTAGAGAAACGTTTTGTCACAGTAGCTTTTTCTCGTTTTGTTCTGTTTTTAAGGCAAAAATGGTACTTCAGTGCAAAACCTAGTGTTTATTTGGCAGGACGGATGAGAATTTGCGCATACAAAAGGTTTGCAACTCAACCCGGCAGGTCTCAAGACCATGGAATTCTGACACCAGCTGGGTGTCATATGATTTAATTCAGTGCTGACGTTAGCTACTCAGTAGTGAAGGGCTCAGTCCCGCAAGGCTGCCTCCACTTGAGACGCCAAGCCTAAGTCCTGGGCCTCTTGTACTTCTGACCAGCCGGCTGTAAATTGGGGATTCTCACAACTGTCTCCTCAAGCTCAGTAATTTGCTAGAAAGGCTCACAGAACTCAGGGAAGCACTTTACTTGCATTTACCGATTTATTATAAGAGGATATTATAAAGAATACAGATGAACAACCGGATGTAGAGGTATACAGGGCAAGGTCTGGGAGCTCCTGTCCCCGTGAAGTCAGGGGGAGCTACCCTCCCAGCACATTGGATACAGTCACCAACCTAGAAGCTCTTTGAACCCGGTAGTTCAGGGGTTTTATGGAGGGTTCATTACTTAGGCATCATTGATTCAATTATGGCCGTTAGTGATTAACTCCATCTTTTAGTCCCCTTCCCCCTCCTCAGAGGTCAGAGGCCGGGGCCGAGAGTGCCAACCCTCTAATCACTTGGTTGGTTCCTCTGGCAACCAGCCGCGTCCGGAAGCCATCTAAGGGTCACCTCATTAGCATAAATTCAGGTATGGCCAAGAGGAGTGTGTTATGAATAACAAAAAATGTTCCTCTCACTCCTATTGCTTGGAAATCCCAAGGCTTTTAGGAGCTCATGGTAGGAACTAAACATCTATGTCTTACTATATCCCAACGTCATAGGGAGCCATGAAGTATGACTTCCAGTAGGACTTGACTTTCAAAAACCATTGTGAGGGGCGCCTGGGTGGCGCAGTCGGTTAAGCGTCCGACTTCAGCCAGGTCACGATCTTGCGGTCCGTGAGTTCAAGCCCCGCGTCAGGCTCTGGGCTGATGGCTCAGAGCCTGGAGCCCGTTTCCGATTCTCTGTCTCCCTCTCTCTCTGACCCTCCCCCGTTCATGCTCTGTCTCTCCCTGTCCCAAAAATAAATAAACGTTGAAAAAAAAAAATTTTTAAAAAACAAAAACCATTGTGAATGGGGAAAGCCCCATGGGCTGCTCTCTTCTGAGGACACGGCTTCTTGGGCCTTCTTGACCTGCTGTCCCTACATTCTGCTCTCCTAACTGTGGGGCCCTTTGTTCATTCTTACTCAGCTCATTTAGAATATTTCACAGCATAATCTCAAGAAGTCTTACAAAGAGCAAGTCCGCGTTTTAAAAGATACATTTTTATGTAAACATAACATACATACAAATCCTAAGGGAACAGAACAATTAATTTTCAGAAAATAAAGAAACTAGCTATCACACAGGTCAAGAAGTGGGTTGCCCGTATCCGCAAAGCCCTGCTTGTCCCCAGACTCAGTAATTACTGCTTCTATCTACCAACCTGACTTTTAACACCATAGATTAGCTTTGCTTATTTTTGACCTTTATGCAAGTAGAATCACACAAAGTGTATTCTTTTGTGTCTGGCTTCTTTTGCGCAACATGCTGGCTGTGAGATTCATCTGTGTCCTTGTCAGAAGCAATGGCTTGTTCATTTCATTGATGTACAGATTTTCCTCGTACAGATACGCCGTGATTTACATCAGTTCTGCCGTGAATGGACATTTGGATTATTTCCAGGTTTTGGTTATTATGAGCATTCATGTGCATGTCTGTTGGGGCCCAAACACTAGATATCATCAGTTAACGCTAGATACTGTCCGTCTGCTTAATTTTAGCCATTCTGGTGCTATGTAATGGCATATTTTTATGGCTGTAATTAGCATTTCTCTGTTGCTAATGAGGTTGACCATCTTTACACATGCTTAATGACTACTTAGATAGATGTCTTTTTTGTGCTATACCAACTCAAGTATCTTGCCAACTTCTCTGTGGTTTGTCTGCCTACCTCGTATTGATTTGTAGGCGTTCTTTATCAATTCTGGACATGAATCTTTTGGAGATGATATGTGTTGCAAATATCTTCAAGTCTGTGGCTTTCTTTTTAACTGTCTTCATGGTAGCTTTTGATAAACAGAAGTCCCTAAAGTTAATATAACCCAATTATCTATCCTTGTGCCAATACCAGAGTCTTACAAAGTATTTCAGTTTAATAGTAAATCTTGAAACTTTGCACATTTCAAGGAATCTTCTTGGTTCTCTGCATTTCCAGAAATTTCAGCATCAGCTTGTCCGAGTCTGAGATTTTCATTAGGGTTGTATCAAATCTATGTCGCTCAATTTGGACAGAGTTGACAGCTTATCAGTTTTGAGCCTCCTGTTTCATGATCATGGTATATCCATTTATTCAGGTCTTCTTTAATGTTGCTCAGTGGTATTTTGTACCGTTCCTTGTACAAACCTCGCACATCTTTTGTTAGCCTTATTCCTAGGTGTTGGATTCTTTTTAATGCTATGGCAAATGGTGTCTTTAAAAATGTTTGTTTCGGGGCGCCTGGGTGGTGCAGTCGGTTAAGCGGCCGACTTCAGCCAGGTCACGATCTCGCAGTCCGGGAGTTCGAGCCCCGCGTCGGGCTCTGGGCTGATGGCTCAGAGCCTGGAGCCTGTTTCCGATTCTGTGTCTCCCTCTCTCTCTGCCCCTCCCCCGTTCATGCTCTGTCTCTCTCTGTCCCAAAAATAAAATAAATAAACGTTGAAAAAAAAAATTAAAAAAAAAAATGTTTGTACATTGCTGGTATATAGAAATACAATTGATACTTTCCACTGACTATGGACCCTGTGTCCTTGATAACCCATATGTTAATTGTAACAGTTTGCATGTAGATTCTTTGGGTTTGTCATCTGGGAAGGCTTAGCATCTGTGGAGGACAGTGTTATTCCATCTGTCCCTGTCCTCATACTTCCTAGTCCTTGGGTTCTACACCACCGGCTCCAGGACCTCATGGAGTTTTTCCTTCTCCTTTCCAGATGATGCTGAGGCACATATCGACTATGAAGATAACTTCCCTGATGACAGATCTGTGTCACTCAGAGAGCTCATGGAGGACTCCCGGACGGAGGCAGAGGAGGACAGAGGTCCAGGAGAGGCCTCTGAGGAGGCTCCACGGCAGGACCGTCTGGTCTCCGTTTCTGTGGGGAGAGACAACATAGCCCAGGATACGGCCTTTGTGCCAACTACAGGCTTGTCCGTCGTTGGGAGCAGCGTCCCCACAGACCTGCCAGGATCCCGACTGAGCCGCAAGTACTTGTTCTGGCTTCCCGCGGAGCCCTTCCACAAGCCTGAGAGGGAAAAGGGGACGGATGATGACACCAAAAAGCAGTTTCTGGCTAGAGAGAAGCATGGTAGCATCACACCGGCTCCGGGCGAACCTGACACCAAGATGGCCTATAGCAGCACAGATGGGCACTCAGGGACGTTTGTGGGCAGGACCGACGGCAAGACAGGGGACCCGATGGTGAGCAGCAGTGATGAGTCCTGGTTAGATGGCTACCCTGTGACCGACGGGGCTTGGAGGAAGACGGGGGCAGAAGAGGAGGACGGGGACAAGGGAGGTGGGTCAGTAGGGCCGGAAGAGAGGGTTCTAGTTGCTCCCAGCCAGCCCACTCCTGTCGAAGTTAAGAAGCCTGGAGGTGCCACGCTCACACCACGTGAGGACGTGACCCGCGGTTCAGTTCTTCTGTCTCAAACGCTAGATGTGGAAGCTTTGGCTCTCGGACCCATAAATGTGTCTGAAACGGAGAGTCCCAGCGAGGGAGACGGTGACTTGCCCGGGTACCAGTCAACTGTTCCTCGGAAGTTTGCCACAGAGAAGTCTCCCGTGGCCACCCTCCCCTATGAACTCACCAGCTCTGCCCCGGAGACGGTAACAACTGCTGCCCGGCAGATGCCGGATCCCAGTCCCTCGACTGTCATGGCAGCCACCCAGACTCCAGGGGAAACCATCGCTCCTGAGGTCCGGGACAGCTTCCCCTACCTGCTGTCCGAGGACTTCTTGGGACAGGAAAGCCCCGGCCCACGTGCGAGTGACGAGCTTCTGCCAACCGTAGAACCGTGTGTAGGGGATGGGTGTCCCGGCCTCGGCAGGGGCCCTGTCATCGCCACCATCGTCACCGTCCTGTGTCTGCTGCTGCTCCTGGCAGGCGTGGGGGCGGTGTGGGGCCACCGCAAGTGCCAGCACAAGAGCTCTGTGTACAAGCTGAACGTGGGCCAGAGGCAGGCTCAGCACTACCACCAGCAGATTGAGATGGAGAAGGTCTAGCCTCCTTCAGTGCGGGCTCCCCCGAAGCCACTTGGGAGGAAAATGAACCGTGCCATGTCTCGCCGATAAACACGGATGATTCACTAGGCCATGAAACAGGTGGGGCCGGGCTGATCCTTCTTGTGCTCAGGTCTTTGTTCTACAGCCAAGAAGTGTCTCTGGGGGCACCTGGTAGGACAAGAAGGCCTTGGTGGCATCATCACACACATCAACATCTCCCTAACCAACTGCCCCGGAATGTGCTGTGCTGATCCCAGACCTGTGCTCGGGCCCTGATTCCCATGTGAGGTCAAAAGTCATCTCCCACTCCATCATGCTATTGCCTTCTTTCCCTTTTTTAAGAGAAAAAAAAAAAAAAAATGACTCCACAACGTGAAATTTTTAGAAAAAGTGTGATAACCTGACATTTGAGAACAGTGTTATTTAGGAGATAGACATTTAATTGTTGGGGGTGGGATATAGAAAAATAATAGGCTACTTCCTTTTAACGTTGTGACATTGTGGGGGCAAACGAGCCAGGAACCGGGGCGTAGTCTAGAAGCTTTGAGGTTTCTTTTTAGCTGTTTGTTGAATTTGGAGAGAATTCAGGACTGCTGTTTCGTTGGGGGTGAGGGGAGTTGAAAAGTAATGAGACACGCCATCCACTTCTGTCCCCTCCATTCTGTAGGACAGACCATTGTTTTTTTGAAAACAAGGTCATCTTTGTACCGGTAAGCACGATTTCCTCTCGGATGCAGTGGCCTAGTTGTTCTTGACCAGTCTGCGCCTAAGAATACCATAGAGTTTTTTGTTGAACTAACAAAGCTCAGTTCTTGGTTTCCTCTCTTAGAATTCGCCATTTTTCCGGACTCCAGCAAGAGGGAATGACACGGGAGGAAAGTAATCTTTTAAGAGGGCCGAGGGCTTAGGATATCAAAGTAGAGGAATGCAGAGGAATTACAAAGGAATATGAAATTCCCCGTGCTGACGTCTTCTGTACTCTGTCGTGGCAGTTGGGAGCTCCATGGAAACAGCATGAGTCCGGGATGGACTCCTCCTGGCTACGGAGCACCCCATCTCATGGTATCTAGATCACCTTAGGACGGTTCGGCAGGTACCGTGTCCAACAGAGGCTCTCAGAGCGTGGTCCTCGGACAGGCAGTATCAGCTCCCAAGCAGAAACTCTGGGGGCGGGGCTCAGCTCGCTGTGTGTTAAGGAGCCCCCCAGCTGATCCTAAAGCACAGTCACGTTGGACAACCATTGCTTTAGACTATAAATTGTGAGCTTGAGCCAGCTGAAGGCCCAGAGGCCCAGAAGATGAGTAGTGCCCGTGGCTTGCCTTGCGCGGAAGCCGGGCATCACCACGCGCACCTGTGGCAGCATTTGAAGCCGCTGCTACGCCGTCGCCAATGGTCTCCGATATATTGGCCCAGAGACGAAACACATTATGCTTTTATAATATGAGTCACCTTCTTAGGAATAGTTTTCAGTGGTAAAAAAAAAAAAAAAAAAAAAAAAAAAAAAAAAAAAAAAGTGACGAAGGCCTTACGTTGATTTTAAGACACGAATTGAGGGGTTTTACGTGCAATGAAATCCTGATCTCCTTTACAGTGGAAGGATTGGTGGTGGTGTTTTGCACACGCACGTGTGGAAAATTCGCACACCATGTTTTCCACCCCGCCACCTGTTTGCTTTGGAAAAATGCACCTGGGTGCATGCTTTGGAAAAATAAGTATCTATAGAGGCAGTGTGGCAAAGTCAAAGACCCTAGTCACCATCACTGGGTAAAGTGAAGGCCTGAAGGTACCAAATGGAACACCTACACGTCAGGTAGAATCTAGAATAGGACCGAAATACTTTCTGCATGTGTAGCCAAAGCAAAACACCACAGAATAAAAGCCAGAGACTGTGTGTATTTATAAATTAGATTTTCGTCTGATCTATTACAAGATAACGTTTCTATTTTTAACTATATAAAATAACCTCCATCTCAACATTGGGATCGTGTTATTCAACTATCATTATGTCATAACCCAAGAACACTGACTGAATATCAATCCAGAAATGGGGAATGTTAATATGAATGTATTAATAAATTTATTACAGATACATTAATACATGTAAATGTATTATTCTGTAGACGTGAACTACATGAAAACAAACCCAACGCATGAGTTTTTACGTTTTTAGTGACTTACTGTCATCTAAATTAATGTCATAGGATCTAAAAATGCATGTAGAAAGGGAATGATTAAAACATTGTGTACCTAAATTTTATGTCATGATTCGTGTTTGGGACTGGTAAACATTTAATGTTCATGAAAACTGAGGTGGGTGGTTTATTAACACAAAGCTTCTGGGATCTTTAAAATAAATACTTTCCCCAAACAGTTGCTAAATGTATTTTATATCTGAGTTACATCATGATGTTTTAAAAAAAAAACACAAAAGATTCTCTAGGGGCCTCTGAGTTCAGGAACCGACTCTTGATTTCAGCTCAGGTCATGATCTCACAGTTGGTGAGATTGAGCCCCATGTTGGGCTTTGTGTAGACAGTGAGGAACCTGCTTGGGATTCCAGAGGAATCCTAGAATTCTCTCTCTTTCTCTCTCTCGCTCTCTCTCCTCTCAAAAGAAACTTTTTTTAAGGAAAAAGATTAAAAAAAAATTTTTTTAATAAAAAAAACTTGGGGGGGGTGCCTGGG